GGGCACACTGAAGGCCCCCACGCCAACATTTTAAATAGAATCCATTATAGTTAATAAGAGTGGGGAGTGCTGCGCCTAGGCGCTGGAGATAGGCACCAGGACTATCCCAAGCTGTGAACGACATTGTGTAATACTTTACAACAGACATTGCAACGCAGAACGGCTCAACAGCACAAACCTAACCACCGGCACAAACCCAGCCACTAAGTACTATTGATCTTAAATTATTCTAATAAATAGTGTACTTACCCATTTTTAATAAATTAGAGTCTCACAAAACATGACAGCAAGTCTGATCACGTATAAGCAATTGAGTAACTTCCCGCTTTCTGTTCTCAAGTCCCGCGTGATGTTGTGATTATCGCGTGACTTTCCAAGAAGCGCTCAGCGGTGCAGTGCGGCGCATCCTGTGTGACCACTTGATTTCTCAAAATCTCGCCTCCAGTGTGTCCCAGACGTATGACTTTAGTAGGGGGATGACTTACTCTTAAATGTATCAGGAGCAAAGGTGATTATAGTTGGTGGATTAGGTGCAGCTAAAATCATGACAATGGCGCAGAAAACATCACCTCACCCTGTAGTGTTGGATGATTGGCTTGGCCTTCATAACAAACTTTTTTAATCTGGCTGATCCATCCAAGCTGGTAATTGAGCGACGTTTGGAATGACAAAGAAACCGTTTCTCTCTCTCTCTCCCTCTCGTTTGCCTCCGAGAACCTTTCATCAGACAGCAGAGCAACACAGTGATTAGGATGTGATGAATCTTTGGAGGCTCACAGCAAAATAACAAGTCAGAAGAGAACAATATCAGATCCAACGGATGGCTTTAATGAAGAAGCCACTGAGCAATTGCAAACTGTGCAGTGGAGCAGTGGCAGCACCACCTTAATGAATGAAGCCTCAGTAGAGTACAGCCTGTAACGGGACACAGTTCGGGTCACATCCTGCTGCTTTTATCTGAATGCCTGTTTGAGAAGGTGTGGCGTCTTTTCATATCACCTTTAATTCAGTCGTTGTTCAACCAGTGGGAACAATTTATGTTCTACTGAGTTTAAAAATGTCAGTTGAATAAAATTTTATTGTATTCACTACCTACAAAGCAAGATGGTCTCGCATTTTCATGAAGCTGTTGTTTTTATGCCAAAGAGTTTTATTGATTTACAGCCAAAGGGCAGAATTTTCTCCAATAAATCAGAAACTCAAGTCTAGTTTCTGTATTTTAGCAGAAAAATACCATAAATAAACTGCAGTTTCAAACAAAGTTCCCTTCCGAACCAAAAGAGAAATAAAATTTCATTTGGTCAGATGGCAAAAAAAGATATTAAGAAATATCTAAAAACATAACTAAATAAGTTGTAACAGATGTCACAACAGCTTAACAAAAGGAAAAGCATTTAAAGGGGAACGAGACAGTTTTGGCATGCTTTTAGCACCCCCTAGTGTCCATTTTGTAAAACCCGTCTCCTCGCTGTGCGTTTGTCTTTTTAACACCTTAATCTAAGATCTGAAACGTCTCCCAGACTTCATTAGTGTCTACAGGAGTGAGTCATCACTAAATGAAACAAATCAGCTGTGTTCATGATCTAAAACATGTAGGAAATGTGTTGGAAGCAGACTGCAGCACCAGCTCAATTTTTCTAAGTCCCAACAGTTTGGCCCGCCAGTCTTAAGTCGCAAGTGGAGTATTCTGGTCACAGGGGGCGACAGAGGCTGGGTGGTCTTTCATTAATGCTGTAAAGGGTAATTTTAGCACATACTGGCTCAAGAAAATAATTTAAAATTATGAAAAAGTTGCAACGCATCCCTTTAAATAGTATATTTGACATCAGCTATAACTTTTCTCTCATCTGCCTGCAACATATTTAGCAGTCTTGTGATTTTAAATAATGAAAAGATCTCACGTCTTTCTCTGGAAAGTGTCTGTTTTTTAAGTAGGGTGTAAAGTCACATGTATTCGCTCCAAACTGTCATGATTATAGATGTCAGGATCATGTGCCTCTTATCGGGGGAAGATTAAGCTAGATGCTGACGACAAGTTGCACGTTTTCTTAAAGTGCTTCTTTTGCTAAGAGATAGAAAAATAGTAGAGGAAGATATCAGAGGCAAGAGTGGGTATTTTACACCTTATACTCTCCTCCCCTACTCCAACTTTACTTTGTTCCCATCAGCAGTCAATGTCCCTGCATGCACTGATGTGTGTACAGAGTCAACATTATTAAATACAATAGCTGCAAAGGCACAGACTTTCCACAGTGACTGTGGGTATAACACAGTGACACAGTGGGTGTAAAATAGACACAAGGGTACAAATCATGTAAGGTGTGCATGAGCAGCCATATAGGATTATTTTCGTTCTGTAAAAAACATATTTAATTTAATTTTAAATTAACTTTAGAACAAATTCACAACAAACACTGCTTTCTAGTGATTTTGTCTTTCAAAATAAAATGCTTTTCTCATGTGGAGTCTGTCTAACTTCCTATTTGGCACATAGAAAAAAATAAAAAATATATGATTTAAAAAAAAACCAATTGAGAAACATAATAACCACTTAATTATCCTGTCTTGTGCCCAACCTGTTACTCAAGGCCCAGATCTCACTGGGCTGTGGTTGTCGGTGACCAATTGCTAATAAAATTTGTGACGGATTTTCCAAAATGTCTCTGAACGTTTACAAGAGTTTTCAGTTTCAGGGCTTTCTCTGATGTTGTTAGAAAATATTCAAAAGATATGGAGCACAAAACATTTTTCACAGTAGTTGCAGAGAGGTTGTATACATCTTGAACCCTTCTCAGTTGTATTTTTTAGACTAGTTTGCTGATGAAAGTGAAATGCAAAAAAATTGAGACATATATTTTGTATATTCCTTCTGTGTGTTTCTTCTGATTGATTTTTAGTTTGTCTTTTTTAGCACAGGAAAGTTTTTTTTTACTTTTCTGACAGTTTCGACCACTCCTCCGGACTTCATCAGAGCTAGCCGCTAATGGTGGCGTCACTGTCTTCTCTGTTTATCCGTGGGCCACAGAGGACGGTGTTGCCCTCTACTGCCTGCACTCTCCTCACCAATGACACAGTCCCGTGTGTGATCCTATGTGTTGACTGTCTCTGTTCATGGTTCCCTGCCCACATCTCCTTATTTCTATGGCTTCCTTAATTCAACTGTTTAGATGATTTTTAAAAGAGAATGCGGGCCACAGAGGGCGACGCCATCCTTTGCGGCCCGTGGATAAACAAAGAAGGAAGTGACGCCGCCATTAGCGGCTAGCTCTGATGAAGACCGCAGGAGTGGTCAAAACTGTCAGCAAGGTATGAAAACCTTTCCTGTGTTAAAAAACAACCTAAATATGCAAATTGAAACATAATAAAGACACTTTGTGACAAGACAACTGGCACAACACTGTTTGCTATCATGTCATTAATCCGTCCAGTTACCAAACCAGCTTCTCCAACCAACTAGTCCTACCAAACCAGCATGTCCTACCAACTTAGTCCTACCAAACTAGCATCTTCTACCAACTTAGTCCTACCAAACTAGCATCTTCTACCAACTTAGTCCTACCAAACCAGCATGTCCTACCAACCACTCCTACCAAACCAGCATGTTCTACCAACTTAGTCTTACCAAACAAGCATGTCCTACCAACTACACCTACCAAACCAGCATGTACTACCAACTTAGTCCTACCAAACCAGCATCTCCTACCAACTACACCTACCAAACCAGCATGTACTACCAACTTCTCTTAACCAAACCAGCATGTCCTGCCAACTTAGTCTTACCAAACAAGCATGCCCTACCAACTACACCTACCAAACCAGCATCTCCTACCAACTAGTCCTACCAAACCAGCATCTCCTACCAACTTAGTCCTACCAAACCAGCATCTCCTACCAACTTGTCCTACCAAACCAGCATCTTCTACCAACTTCTACCAAACCAGCATGTCTTGCCAACTTAGTCTTACCAAACCAGCATGTCCTACCAACTCCTGCTACCAAACAAGCATGTTCTACCAACTTAGTCCTACCAAAACAGCATGTCCTACCAACTACTGCTACCAAACAAGCATGTTCTACCAACTTAGTCCTACCAAACCAGCATGTCCTACCAACTACTCCTACCAAACCAGCATGTTCTACCAACTTCTCCTATCAAACCAGCATGTCCTACCAACTTAGTCCTACCAAACCAGCGTGTCCTACCAACTACTCCTACCAAACCAGCATGTTCTACCAACTTCTCCTACCAAACCAGCATGTCCTACCAACTCAGTCCTACCAAACCAGCATGTCCTACCAACTTAGTCCTACCAAACCAGCATGTCCTACCAACTTAGTTCTACCAAACCAGCATGTCCTACCAAACCAACATGTCTTCCCAAACTAGCATGCTTTACCTTTAAAATGTTCATGTTTTCCCACAATCTTTGTCATGACCGTTGTCCTTGTCTTTGACCTTAAACCCTCCCAACAGAAAGGGATTGTTTTTATGTCTCTGGTGTTAGAAGTGTAATTATCCCTTTAAACTAAGGACAATAAAAGTCTGTTTCTTCTTCCAGTTTTATCGAGACCCAACGTCTTTCCTGAATAGTGATGTATTTTTACCTTTACACCCTTAAGGCCTAGTGAAGCCTCAAGTCTCTACCAAACACTGTGACATCATAAAACAGAAAGACTTCCTGTTTCCAGCAGAGTCAGCCCAGTGAGCGGCCAGAACAAACTACACTAACCTTTGTTTCTGCCTCAGTAAAAATGCCAGCTTATCCATTCCAGGACCAAGAGTGATCAATACCAGATGTTCGCATTAAGCAGAGACCTTTATGTACAAATGATATGACCTTGTTTTATTGATTAGGAGCTGCTCTTGGACAAGTCAGATGGGTTTTCTTATCACTGTGTGTGATGCTTCACATTCACACATTGGTTCTTTCTCTCTGATAAGAAAGAGTGTAATCACACTAATATGCTATTTACAGTTGTCCTCTCTGTGTTTCCACCAGTCTCTGTCAGCAGCATGGGACAGCATCTAGGAAAGAGGGACGTCCACACGGACAGAAAGGTAAGATTTTTCTCTGGATCTCAGTTTCATGTCCTTCTTCAGAGAAACTAACAAGTAAAACCAGAAACTGTCGACTCATTGATCACGATCCTGATGTGAGAACAGAGCACGTGTTTTTCTTTAACCCTTATCAGTCAGAGTGGTGCTTTTATCAGCCGCACTTTGAACCATGTTGCAGTCGTGATGTCCGTCTCCATCACTCCGGCTGATTTATTGCTGTTGCCGAGCTTTCAGCGAGGCTGTCCACATGCTGAGAACACACACGCTCACAAAGACTTTGCTCCCCCCACCTCCCATAGGGTGACTCTACAACATGCAGAAAGACTGTGATGTCTCAGAGAAGTTTGAATTCTTTTTGAGCCACCTATTCTTTCCTGGGCACTATAACCCCCAGCTCTCATGTCACAAATCTCGGTTTTGTGCGACTCACGCTGCCACAGGCAACACTTTTTACTCCTCTCACAAATGCAGTAATCCGTGGATAATGCTTCGACTGCAGGATTTTTCAAATGGAGGAAAAGAGGAGGAATGACATGACAATAGGCAACAAATGTGAAATAACAACTTATTTTTTTGTTAACATCTGATGTGAGCTGAAATGACAGGTTTTTATGCAGGAGGATCATCCGTGGCCAGTATAATCTGTATTTATTATTTCCATTAGGATGCTCTTAATGTGAAAATCTGACACACTAGCAGACGGCTTTTATGAGATACTTGGAACTTTTTTGTGAAAAATGCTTGACAATGTATATGAAGCAGCCACAATAGTCTGCATCTTAGTGCTAATGGAAAGATGTTGCCATAGCAATACTTCAAGCTTAGCACCATCTCCATGGTTTTTCACAAAGGTGTTTAATAATAAACCCTAAGATCTTGGAATACTCTGGTAATGCTGTGTAGATGATGGGTCAAGGTAACAAACAGATCAGGGCTGACACCTGACCCTCTCACCTGTATAACCATTCATTTTGGCCTATAGGGATGAGAAGAACTCAGTTCCGTGATCCATTGATCATCCTGGAATTCATTTATCTGACTGGAAATGTACACTCACCTAAATGATTGCTAGGCACACCATACTAAAACAATGTTTGACCCCCTCTCTCCTTCAGAACTGCCTTACTTCTACGTGGCATTGATTCAACAAGGTGCTGAAAGCAATCTTTAGAAATGTTGGTCCATATTGATAGGATAGCATCTTGCAGTTGATAGAGATTTGTGGGATGCACATCCAGGGCATGAAGCTGGAAGCTATCCTGCTGGAAGTAGCCGTCAGAGGATGGGTACATGGTGGTCATGGTCATGGTCAGAAGCAATGCTCAGCCAGCCCGTTGCATTTAAATTATGCCCAGTTGGCACTAAGGGGCTTAAAGTGTGCCAAGAAAACAACCCCCACACCATTACACCACCACCACCAGCCTGCACAGTGGTAACAAGGCATGATGGATCCGTGTTGTCATTCTGTTTACACAAAATTCTGATGACCATTTGAATGTCTCAACAGAAATCGAGACTCATCAGACCAGGCAACATTTTTCCAGTCTTCAACTGTCCAATTTTGGTGAGCTTGTGCAAATTGTAGCCTCTTTTTCCTGTCTGTAGTGGAGATGAGTGGTACCTGGCGGGGTCTTCTGCTGTTGTAACCCCTCCACCTCAAGTTTGTGGCTTCACAAATGCTTTGCTGCTTTCCTCGGTTGTAACGAGTGGTTATTTCAGTCAAAGTTGCTCTTCCATCTGCTTGAATCGGTCGGCCCATTCTCTTCTGACCTCTAGCATCAACAAGGCATTTTCGCTCACAGGACTGCCGCATACTGGATGTTTTTCCCTTTCCCCACCATTCTTTGCAAACCCTAGAAATGGTTGTGGGTGAAAATCCCAGTAACTGAGCAGATTGTGAAATACTCGGACCGGCCCGTCTGGCAACAACAACCATGCCACGCTCAAAATTACTTTAATCAACTTTCTTTCCCATCCTGACATTAAGTTTGGAGTTCAGGAGATTGTCTTGACCAGGAGCACACCCCTAAATGCATTGAAGCAACTGCCATGTGATTGGTTGATTAGATAATTGCGTTAAGGAGAAGTTGAACAGATGTTCCTAATAATCCTTTAGGTGAGTATAGATATTTCCACAGATGTCATGTACGTAGACACCCCATGTACTGGTGCTGCCAAGCCCCCACAATGCAGGACAGAATTTGAGGCCAATGCGGAAATGAAATAAATTGCAGTTCCACCCTCATCCGCTGGGGGCTGGTGTCAGAAGCGAGCAAATCCTCATTGACTCCCATGTTAAAAATGCCAATTTCGCAGCAGAAATAAACATGTTTACAGCCTGGTACCAAAACATGTTTATTTTTTTTTTTTATTATCTAGTTTACACTCATGACAACTCTGAGGGGGGTGAATTTTTTTCTCACTCTTCTGTTTAAGTGTATTAAAAGCCTAAAATTCTGTATAATTAATGAGCATCAGACCCACGTGACCACAGAGCTAGCTCCGTGGAAAGGCCTCAGTAGAGCCTCGGTCTGGCTTGGAAACTGCTCCAGCATTTTGAGTCTCTGTGTTTGTGTTTTCTTTTTTTGGATATTTTTTGTGCAATTGTTGGACAAAATGACTTGCTGTGGCATTAAATGCGCTAATAGAGCATCCAAGGAGTCTCCACTTCATTTTTTTCGGTAAGTAAAATTATATTTATGGATTTTAGGTCACTGCCGAGCTGAGCTTAGATTTTAACATGTACTGTTTAACCATGAAATTTAAATGTAATAGGGTAAAACCCAGTGCATTTAACATAATGCTGCACTTTAGAAAATGGGTTGAAATATAACATGTTGGTGGAGCTGGGTTCCGACTATCGGCTTGTGGAGCTCTCTGGAGACCTCTGTTTTCCACCCGGTTCTCCCCTCCCCGCAGCTTGGCGCATGTCTGTCTGATTGCGGCTTTTGACTGCTGTGCGGGCTGCCGGCTTGTGGAGCTCTGGGATGGAAACCGATGTTTTCCACCCGGTTCTCCCCAGCGGCAGCTCTGGGCATCTCAGATCGCAGCGGCGCTTGTCGGCTGTGCGGCTGCCGGCTTGTGGAGGTCTCGGGAGACCTCTGTGTTCCACCTGGTTTTACCCAGCGGTCAGCCCGGCGTATCTCTGACTCAGAAGCTCTGGTGTTGTGCACAGTTAACTCCGGTTGTAGCTAGGTTGCTACCTCCGTTAGCTTAGCTCCCACCTCCGCGTTAGCTTTGGGTTAGCTTCAGGTTAGCTTGTAGCTAGTTCGACCGGGTGTTGTCAGTTGATCCCAGCCTTACAGCCCCACCCTCAGCTCCACCTCTCTTCCCTTTTGTGGAATTGTCTGGGCTTGACGGAACCTGTGACACGGTCAAAATGGCGGTGGTGGCCACCTCCCATTTCCCCTCAAAAATGTGTTATTGGAGCCTATGGAAATGAATTGTCCAGTATATATGTTGATGGGTGCTGCCTATTGGAAGCTATCTTGGACAGGTCTTTATTCAAGTCTTTATTCTCTCTCAGTGCATTTATTTCTACCGAGAAACGTGCTTACTCAACAAAACAAAAAAAAGACATTTTAATATGCTTTTTCCACAAAGTCACCCATGAAGTTTGGCATGATTTAAATATAATTAAACAAAATAGATTTAAATACATTAAAATCCCAACAGGTAGGCTGGAAAAGTCATTAGTAATCCCACATGTTGCTTCCAGTAGTATGCCAGTTGTTGCATTTGTAGGCTGAACAACAAAAGGGCATTGTTGCTTACTCTGTTACTCTGTGTTGACTCCAGTTGGGTTTGGAGAGTGAGGAGCCCAGCCAGGATGGCAGCGATGTTGTTACGCTCTCTAGTGCACAATGGGGCATCTACGTATTCATGTTTATGTTTTTTTTTTCTGTTAAAAATGATAAACTGGAGGGAAGCCCAATAGGGACACTCTACTGGCTAATGGTCTTTCCTGCTGTTACAGGTCAATGAGTAGAAAGACCTGTCAGAAGAAATGACTGCATGGATCATTTACAGTGAGACGTTAAATAGAACAAATAAACCTCTTACATTTCTACAGGCTTCTACTTGGTTAAAAAAAACTTATAAATTAGACACTTTTCTGCTTGATTTTACATCAGTAGCCAAGTTGTTAGGATTTTCCCCCTAAGTACCTCTTCAAGCAGCACTTCACTGAAAATGTCTGAGTTTAAACAAGCTGCAATTATATAAAACAAATCCATTTCAGTCCTAGTGTGTGTGTGTGTGTGTGTGTGTGTGTGTGTGTGTGTGTGTGTGTGTGTGTGTGTGTGTGTGTGTGTGTGTGTGTGTGTGAGGACATTACAGGTCAGACACAGCTCCTTGTAGCCTGCACACGGGACACTCATGTCACCCACCAGCATTATACAATTAACCCGGACCTCTATTAACTTTGTTTTCACACTACTTAAAAAAAACTCACTCTGGATGAGTTTGTTTCATTGACTCGAATCGAGTTTGTTAAAATGTAACTTGGAGCCAAAAGGAGCTGAAAGTAAAGAGGTGTGGGGAAGAGAGAAGCACTCTTGAGTAATACATTTTGAAGTTGTGGGTAGCGGCGTAAACCTGTGGTTTTGTTCATCGCTCGCTGTCTGGGGGTTGCAGCCATCATGTAGGCAGGAGGGGAGTCAGAATCAGCAGGGAGGCTGATGGCCGGGCTCACACATCATTTGTTTCCTTCGCCTGCCAAACACACTCTGGAGGGAGAGGAGCAGAATAGAGAAGTGGGTTTATTTGTCAAGCGTGGAGCTGCTAGGAGAGGTGTTAGGGCAGCATGAAGCAGCACTTTCTACTAGAATGTGAAGATCTCTGGTTTTTATCTCTTTGGTTTAACTTGACCTCACGTTAAAGGATGATGAAGCGTGATAGAGGGAGGCAGGTTGTGATGTCAGACGCAGGATTTTCTCTTAATCCCTCCTCAGTTCACCAGCATGAACCTCATACCTACGCCTCAGCAGTGATTCTCTTGA